GAGGACCAGGATGGAGGGATGTCCATCATCTCTGGCTCTCCAAAGATCATCCATCAATGCGACCAAAGCGGTTTCTGTGAGCAGTGGTGAGCATTTCAGTTTTCTTCATTACATTCACATTTCAGATATGACATAAAGATAACATATCCAATACTAAATATTTGCCCTTTGAAGCTAATGAGTAAACAAGCATCTTCAATGCAAATTAAGATTTGATAGTGAGATTTCAAATAATATCATTTATTTCATTCTTGGGGCTCCTTCCTTATGTCATTCCTGGCCAAGCTGTTTTGTTCAATTGCTTTTTAGGGTAAAGTGGTATCTTAAAACTAAATGAAATTCACCAATAATTAGCTCTCGGTTCCATGGGGAACTCAATAGTATAGAATATAATGTTGTAAGAAAATAATGTTATCTAGTAATCATCCGGATTTTTGCACTCAGATATTATAACTCTGGTTCAAATTTTTAAGCACTGAAAAATCAATGCTTAAAAAACCCCCTCATACCTAATGAAATATGACCGTGATGGAGAACCAATGGTATGTGTGTCAGAAATGACCTGCAGAGCCATCTCTCCAGGCACACGATCTATTGCCCATTGTTCTTCTGGGTTCCAGCACACTGGCCAGCTGGTCTTCATGCTTGTGGGATCACTAGAAACCGGAAGAGCAGCTGCCCGGCATGCATGTGCACACAGGAAACTGGAAGATCACCTTCCCGGCGTGTGCATGTGCACCAGGTGGCTGCTCTTCCAGTTTCCAGTGTGTGCATGTGCACTGGCCAGCTGGTCTTTGCATGCACGTCAGAAACCAGAAGACCAGGTTGCCAGTGCGCATACATGCACCGGAAACCAGAAGATCATCTTCCCGGCATGCGTACCGGGTGGCTGCTCTTCTGGTTTCTGGCACACTCATGCTCCCGTTTCGGTACTCAATGCCAAAAAGGTTTGCCAACCCCAGCATATGACAACCTGGCCTGGCTGTCCTTCTGTTAGTGTGAGTCAGCCATTGGAATGAGTGAAAGGGAGAACAGAAGCTCACTTCTGACCTCGAAGGGCAGCTGTGCTGTCACAAGGCTTGATGAAGACACTAGAAGGCAGTCTTTTAACTATTAAGGCAAAATCAAGAACATTGAGGCCTCAAAAATGTCAAGCGGAAAGTCAAACATGATGTTATAAAGTATTAATAACTTCACAAAAAATGTAGTGGAAAATTAGAACCAATTTCCAGCACCTGTAGTGGATCTTTTGCTCCTGTCAGATTTCTCTGTTTCTCTTCTGTGTTTGTATGAACCGACCTGGCATATCAGGGTTGATATGGTGAGATCAGGGGTGAAATGCTACCGGTTTGGTCCGTTTCGGAAACCCATTCACCCAAACCGGTAGTAAAAAAAATGCTACCAGTTTGGGTGAACTGGTTTTTCCAACGATCAGCTGTGACGCACGATTTATATTAGCTAGAAAGCAGGAGTTCTTCCTTTCTAGCTAATCTAAATTGTCTGGCACAGGGGATTCCCCCCCCTTTTGCTGTTCGCTTACCTTTGCAGCACTCTCTGCACATGCATGGAAGATCCTGCGAATGCACACAGGCATACTCACATTGCTACCAAACCAGTAGCAAAGGTAAGTGTATTGCACCCCTGGGTGAGATATCCCATTGATCCTGGCTAAGGTATAGGTGTTGAGAACTACAGCCTGTGGGAGTTATCTAACCACTCAGTTACTGGAGGAGATGCTGGCAATCTAATCTAAACATTGGAAAGAGAGAGAGAAAGAAAAAAAGGATGAGAGTGGAAAAGTCTGGGCATGGAATGAACAAAGTAGCTGGAAAGAAAAGTCAGAGATAGAAATGTGCAGAGCAGTTGTTGGTTCCTGATCAGGATGGAGAATGATCTGTGGATGTTTCCCTGATGAAAGGAAGACACAAAAGGAAAAGGCCTCCACCCAAGATACAACAATGAGAAGAAGGAAGCTTGCTAATTGCAGATGCAGCTAATTGCAGATGCAGCTTCACTGAAGACCCTTCAGGAGGTTTAGATCAGGCTGTTGGTGGAGAAGCCCTGGTTTCTAGGGAACGAATGACCTAGACCTGAGAGAGGCTCTTTCCCAATGGAGAAGAAGCAGCAGGTGTTTGATTGAGCAGTTCTAGGCAGAGGTCAAGCCATGCCCATCATATTACAGTAAATTCAAGTCAATTCCTTTTGTTTCACCCTCTTTTGTCAAGCCAAGGAGAGAGATAAAGAGGTAAAGGAGGATAGTCTCTGGGAGGGAGACTTAGGAGGAAACCTGACTTTAGGTGAACACTCACTAGTGTGATCTATATATCTGCTCTAAATAACATCACTGTTTATAGTAAAAAGCATCACTGTTTATAGTAAAAAGCATACACTATCTTGGTTTCCTTTGTCAATTGTCATATTAGGCAAAACAGTACACCTCTGGTTCAAAAAACTGACCCCATCACACAGTGACATGCTGTCCCATTGCTGAGAAGAAAGGTTTGAGATGGCTTTTTCTCCAAATTCCATTTCACATATATCTATGGAGGTGATAAATATAAGGTAAAGGTAAAGGTTTCCCTCGCACATATGTGCTAATCATTCCCGACTCTAGGGAGTGGTGCTCATCTCTGTTTCAAAGCCGAAGAGCCAGCGTTGTCCCAAGACATCTTTATGCTCATGTGGCCAGCATGACTAAATGCCGAAAGTGCATGGAATGCTGTTACCTTCCCACCAAAGATGGTTCCTATTTTTCTACTTGCATTTTACATGCTTTTGAACTGCTAGGTTGGCAGAAGCTGGGACAAGTAACGGGAGCTCACTCTGTTACGCAGCACTAGGGATTCAAACTATAAAACAT